AGGGAGCTCCTGGGTCAAAATTAAAAGAAAAAAAATTTAAAGGGCTAGGATGTACCTCAGTCAAAGGCCCTGGGCTCAGCCCCTACTTTGCATACCATGTCCAGAGTGCTTGTTTGTGACAGCCCCAGCCTAGAGACCACCAGGCCATTGGCCAGAAGAGAGCAGGCAGCACAATGGCTCCACACCGCACTGAGATAACTCACTGATGAGAGTGAACAGACAACAGGTGGCTCCACATGGTCACACGGAGGCCAGTGAGAAAAGCGAACAGGAACCCTGTGATCCATGTGAATAAAATTGTAGGAAAAGCCCATCTGTCTTTTTTCTTTAAGCCTGGGGTCCAGCACTTTTCCCGCCTCAGCTGCCCAGGTGGCTGGGGTGTAGGTGTAAGCCACTGAATATCGTTGATCTCCAGTGAAGACAGAAGGCTGGGCATAGGTCAGGCGCAACAGAGAAGAGGCAGAGGGGCAGGAGACAGCTTTTGGAGTGAAGGGCACACTCTCAGTTGACATAACCAGGACAGAAGCCACCTCATGCTTCTGTCTGGTTCTAAACTTTCTGCATCTAAACTGGCTTGGGATCACCCTATGACCCGGGTACCTGTAGGGTAACCACACAGTTTAACAACCACATGGCCTGCCTACTAAAATACTCAACATGTGAGCTCTTTTAAGAAACTTATAAAAATTGTGTTTTACCATAAATAGAAATACCCTTTTTCCACCATGGGGTTAGCATGTTATTTGTACCATATAAGATGAGCATGTGTTGCTTGTACCAAACTCCTCAGGGCTTGAACGAGATGAAGCCAGTGGCTGCTTTTTGGCTTGTGTTGCGAACTCCGGCCTGGGTGCTGATCTTCACAGAGCTGCTGCTGGAGCTCTATGACTCTGTCACTGCCCCTCTGGGACACCCCTTTGGGATCCCTGGCTATACTGTCTCTAGGTTGCCTCGAGTTCCAGAGCTGCCTGTCGGACCATATTCCATGCATGCCAGCCAGGTGGAAGATTGATCTTGCATCATCGGTGCAGCCTCCAGCCGTGGTGAGTGCTGCTTTCCCTTGCTGTGAATGTGATCAGTGCATTCCAGAGATTGCCTGACTCATGGGATTGTTGTCTGCCAGGTGCTGACTCCTTTTGGCCTCCGTGTCCACTCACAACATCAGTTTAGACTGAGCCAAAACTTTTCCCATCCTCCTGCCATAACCTAAGTTGTCCTGTCAGGCAAGTTTCAGGAAAGATGGTAGCCAACAGGAGACACCAGGTCAACACTGAGAGGTGGCCCCTGAGCAGGAGCACTGTCCCACATAGATCTTGTCATGGGCCTTGCCACCCCAGCATGGGGTGCTTCCTCCTCAGCACATAGGTGCACCATTCCACAGTGGACGGACAGTGACAGGCCTGGATTTCAAGGGACACTTGGGTGCTGCAAGTGACCAATCACATTGCCTGGAGCAGCCCCAGTCAGAGGGCACAGCTCCATCTTGGCTGAATGAGTGTCCCCAAATCCCCCTATGGATCCTGACCCCAACATGGTGGCAAGTGGGGTGGTGGCCTTGAGGAATCATTGTAGTATGACAACACACAGCCCGAGGTAGGACTAGCATGCTCACAGAAGAGCAGGTGACTATAGGGCTTCCTCCCTGCAGCCCCTCGAGGGTCCCCAACCTCTGACTTTGGACCTGAGCAGTCACTGGATCTGTGTCACTGCAGCAAACTAACCAGATAGAGCCTTCCTGGGAGATACCTGGTCCTGCTGGGGCCCGTGGCTGCTGAAGGGTCCCAGGCCTACCTACCATGAGTCACAGGATACAGCAGGCACCATGGGCTCAGCAGCCTGCTGCCATAATAGATGAGTCTCTGGCCAGCACCAGATCCCTGCCTTGGCCAGAGTGGACATGGCTGAGTGCTGGCAGGTGTGGCTTCCTGGGTCCCTAAGGGGATGTCCCAGTGTGACCATTATCCAAGAGCAGCTTTTGGTGCTTACTGGAGCTAGGCAGGGAGAGGAGTGGTGGAAACCTACTGCATGGCCTGACCTGGAGGAACTGCTGTCTCACTTGGTGGTCACCAAGGTCCTGTGCCCTTGGTGGGTCACAGAAGACCATGAATAGACCTCAGAGCTTAGCCTAGAGGTATCTAAGCCAGCCTCTCCTTAGCAAGAAGGGCCCTTAGGTACTGAGGCACTTCAGGGGGGCCCTGTCCTGTGTCCACCCAAGAGTGCCTCAATCAGGGGTCATGGAGGGCCCTGACCTGGGCTGAGTGCCCAAACTCACTTGGGAGGGCAGGTCTTGTCCTGCCTGGTCATGCCTAAGTAGAGCCCAGGAAAGAAAGACCTGCAGACTGTGAACACTATGTCTAGACCTCTGTATGCCTTGAACAGACCCAAGCCACAGCCCTAAGAAGTCCTGGGAGCCAGGCAGGGCCTGTGCCAGCCAACAACCATTGTGTCCAGGGCTGCTAGGCCTGGACAGTTTCCTCTCCATCCCTTCCCCAACTGGGCTAGAAGTGGTGAAGGGCACAGACCTCCAAATACAGTTGTGGAATCAGGTGGTCGTAATAGAGAGCTAAGCTAACCTTGGTAGGGAAATGGCATCTTGTTACTCAGATCACTCCCATCACGGATCAGGCAGAATGAAGGAGAGTCAGGGCTGCAGTGGCAATGGCAGGACTCAAAGCTTGAGCCTCTCCCCTGAAGAGGAGACAGAGCCCGGAGGAGTGGCGGCTGAGGGCAGCATTGCCACACAGACATGGGGAGGACCTAAGTGCTGCAAGCAAGCACACCCTCCCCACCACCAGCACCAAGGGGGCTGCCTGGAGGACTGGCACCACATTTCCTTGGGACCCCCTTCCTATCCCTAGATCAACCCGCAACACAGCCAGGAGCACCAGGAGTGGTAGTGATCCCACTGGGGCATGGGGAACCTGTCTGGGATAGTTCAGGGCCTCTAAGTGATATGCTGGCCAGAAGCCCTGGAATGAGGCCTGTACCACACACCTGGCATTTGTGGGGGATGCCATGCCCCTGGGCAGGGATGAGTCAGAGCCAGCCTCACACCAGGATGTTTCTGGGGTGATGTGCCCTTAGCGAACATGCAGAATCCTGAGCTGGGACCCTTGGCAGCCATGAAACTGCTGGAAACAGCAAGCAGGGGTGCAGGTCTATGGGGCCCAGGCCTCCCATCCAGATCCCAGCCCAAGCTGTGTGGGCCCAGAGCCCTGGAGGAGAGGCAGCACCCCCTAGAGCAGGATCTGCCCAGGCTGTTGGCTTCACTCAGTGCAAAGAGGAAGTGTGCAGCCTCTCCCGTGAAATGTTCCATTCTTGTCTGAAGACCACATGACCTACTGCTCAGAGGGCCTGGGCCCTGGCAGCAGGTGGTATAACCAACCCATCTGCAAGTCCCCACACCCTTCCTGCAGGTCCTCCTCTAGTCCTGAGGACACAGCAGGCTCTGTCCATGTTCCAAGTAGCTTGCAGATGGGTGCTGGATGTTGGATATCATACTGTAACTGGTTGGATATCATACTGTAACTGGAACACCACCAGTCGTAGCTGAGGCCTGGGCAGGAATCAGCCAGCCTGAGCTATCTGGTACTAACGCTTTCTGTTCTATCCCTACCACAAAGAACCAAGATAGTCTGGCTTCATGTGACAGAGTCACCAGCACACCTTTACTAGTCCATGACCAAATACCATTGGCAGGGTCTTCTCCCCACACTTCTCCTGCTTTTTGGTACCAGTACTGAGCCCAGAGTCTTTATGACAAACTACTGTACACCCGCCGCCTGCCAGACTTACTTCCTTTTTCTTTCTTTCTTTTTTTTTCTTTCTTTCTTTCCTTCCTTCCTTCCTTCCTTTCTTCCTTCCTTCAAGACAGGTCTCATTACATAGTGCAGGCTGGTCTTGAACTCCCTACATAGCTCTCATTGGCCTTGAACTTGCACGCATACACTTGTATCAGCCTCCTGACTGCTGGGATTAGTGTGTACTGCCACACCTGGCTTCTCCCAGGTCCCCCGTTTGAAAGTTATGTTGTGAGAAAGTGCTAAATCTGAAAGTTGCCAAGGCTGGGCTTGAATTTGTGTACTTTCAGCCTCCCAGTGTTGGCAACGGAGTCTTGATTCTGCTAACTAGACTTGATGAGCAAGAGGTAATGTACACCCTAGATGCCTCAGTGGGCCAAGTTTCCCACATGGTGGGAGAGAAACCCCAGAATGCTGCAGGAAGTGTGGATCTGAAAGCAGTGAAATGGCAGCATGCCCTGCAGAAAGATGAGATGTCCTTGTCACTCCTTCCAAGCCTGAAGCTGGGTGGGACTCTGGGTGGGGGCTCACCCACTTCCTGGACAACACGTAACACTGGCAGGAAAGGGCTCAGCAGGTCAGGCTGTGGTACAACATGGTGCCAATGGTGGACAGCCATCGGACCAAGGCGATGGCTACCTCTGCTGCCACATCCCATTTTCCACCTGGAATGCAGTTTCAGACTTGATGCTGCGCCCCACTGGACACCCAACGCCAGCCACTAGCCACATGACTCAGTGGCCCACCACAATGAGGATAGGGCATACACAGCGTCCCCAAATAGGAGCCTTGAGCTGCCACCAGGCTACTCCTTGCCAAAGGCTTCCTGACATGTTTCCTCGGGGCTGCTGGCAAGAAGGGAAATGTAGAGAAGTGGTACACGGACATATGTGTCCAGTGGGCCACCTAGAAGTGGACAGCAGCTATACTCCTGCCCACTATGCCCTAGCCCTGTAGCCTCAAAGAGCCAGGATGGACAGAGGGGTCACATGGACACATTGGGCACTGGAGGCCTTCTCTACCAGCTGTAGTCTGCTAAGTGCCCCCCCCCAGCAGTGCTCTAGGCCCCTGCAGCAACTCCCCTCCATAGCCTGGGGCACTAACCAGCAGAAAGCAGAAAAGGGTCCTCACTATTCTCCTCTGTGCTTTCCTTGGTCCCAGCCTGTCTACCCAAGCAGTCCACAGAGGCTGACCCCAAAATGGATGGGCAGAAAGGCACTTTAGAAGCATGGAGTGGGTAGGAACAGATGAAGCCAACAATTAGCTGACCAGTCAGTGGTCAGCAGGCCCATTTTGGCTCCGGACTGGTCAGCCTGGAGCTGGTGGCTCTCAGGAAACAGGGATCTCCAAGTATGGTACAGGGTCAGAGAAGGGGCCTGGCCGACCCCAATAGTCCACTGCTCGCACACGGTAGGAGCCAGAGACAACAGCTGTATCTGCAAACACAAGGTATGTGAGACTTTTAGTGAGTGTACCTGAACCCACCATGTCCCCAGAATCCCTGGGCCCACCCCACCAGCTATGTGTGAGATCCAGCACAGGAGGGGCTGAACCCTAGGTTGTGGCCGTGGGTGCACCTGGGCTGAATATGAAGAGGTTGAAGGTCGATGGCCTTCTACTGACCAGTGTGTACACCTTGCTGTCCGGGGAGAACTGGATTTCATAAGTCCACAGGCACCTGGGGAGGGCAGTAGAGGGAGGGTCAGTGGCCCATAGGGGCCTGGGTGGCCACAATCTCCTCCTGCCAGCCTCCTTCCTGGCATTCTTCCTGCTTGGCGCAGAGTGCACACTGTGGGTAGCTGGACCCCACGCCCCACACAGGGCAACCTGATACGATGCATCTAGGAAGAAGTGGATGGAGCGGCACAGCCAGTAACTACAGGGTGCAGCGGAGGGTGGGGTGAGGACAGGTGGGCACCAGGGGTCACACTACACTCACGCACTTGGTGCCTACTCGCTCGTCAGACCAGACCAGAGCCAGCTGCCCTCGGGTCAGGGGCAGCACACGGAGCCGGGTCACCTGGTGGCAAGAAGCAGGTGTGAGGGTGAGTGAACCGGGCATCCTGGGGAAGGGGAGCCTCGGGGCCACTTGCCTGGCCTGGCGGCTCCGTAGGACGCGCACACACGTGCACCAGCAGCAGCGAGGGCAATGCGAGCTCAGGACGCAGCGTCAGGCGGCCACCGGCGGGGAAGGGCTGCGGTGCGGCGGCCACTGGGTCCTGGGGACATAGGAGACTAGGTTGGCGCCCGCCTTGGACCCTGGGGCTCCCCAGCCTCTCGCGCCCACGCACCTCTGCAGCGCGCATTCGGCGGAACTCCGCCGCCGAGGGGAAGGCTGGGCTGCCAGCACGCTGCCACTCGCGCTGCGGGCTGCAAAGCTGGTTGTCCAGATAGCTTGTGGTGTAGACTAGCCCTGCGAGGTGGGACGCAGGGGGCTTGGCTCTCCACGCCCCGCCCCGCCCCGCCCCGCCCCGCCCCGCCCCACATCCGGCCTTGTCCCTCGATCCACTCACCCGGCCCAGCCGGGACCCCGCGCAGGCGCACGGTCACCGGCACCCTGCGGCCAGGGTGTGCGCGAACGTCGTCACTTGCGTAGAGCAGCACCGTGGCGCGCCAGGCGTCGTTGGGGCCCTCAGGTCGGTGGGCGCTGGCCAGGACACCCACCGTGTGGTTGCTGTCCAGCACCACGCTGGCCCGAGACACCTCGGCCCAGAGCTGTTCTCCGTCTGGAAGGTCGAGGGTCTGTCACGGGGCGCTGTGCCCACCCTGCCCCGCTGCATCTCTGTGCTCTTGTACCCCGGGTCCGGGCTGGGCGGGGCGGGGGCTGCATCCCGAGAAAGCATGGCTGGGAACCAGCGCTCTGCTCATGATCAACCGTCCTGCCTCTACCTCGGAACCTTGGCCCAGTCCCCTGGCCGCCCGGGCAGCTGCCGCTCACCCAGCAGGGCCAGCAGACCCATGGCCGTGAGCACCGGCTTGCGCAGCAGCTGTACATGCGGTGGCTGCGTGTTGTTGACTTGGAAGCGCGCCGTCAGCGTGCGCTGTGAGAACGGGTGTGGGTGGTAGCTCAGAAAGGCGTTGTCGTTGCTCAGGAGCCTGTAGCTTGAAGCGCTGGCGTTGGCAATCAGCAGGTTCTGGTGCTGGGCAATGACCTACAGATGGCAGGCCAGCTGGGACCTCAGTAGGCCCAGCCACTCCACCCGCAGCAGGAAGTCCCGGCCCACCTTCACCACCATGGCCGCATAGGTCACATCTGCCCTCCAGGGCTGCGGCAGCGACCAGCCCACCAGCGGGTCTGCCTCATCATTGTAAATGGGGGTGTCCTTGAACTCGGGGAACAGCTGCTGGATCTGGCCTAGGACCCTGGCCTCCTGCTCCAGGATGGCAATTGAGCTGCCTGCACCCTGTGGCAAGGGCAAGGTGTCAGCATACGGAGCTGGATGGCCTGGCCAGAAAGTAGGGAGTAAGGAGTGGAGGACTCACCTTCCTGTGCAGGGAGATGAAGTCCAGCCGCACACTGCGTTTGCCAGTGAAGAAGTTGGTGCCATGGGCACAGTGCTGCAGAAGGCCCCAACTGAGTGGGGACCTCGGAGGCTGGTGAAAGGAGTCACCGGGACCACCCAGTTGCAGCTCGGGACTTGCATCGTGCAGACCCTCGGAGCAGGCATCGTAGTAGTTAAAAAAGCCTGGAGGGGAAGGAGGGTCCCCACTGTCCTTGGAGAACTTCCTTACCCCCAACCCCACCCTAGGGACCCTGCAGGACCCCAGCAAGCATCATTCACCTTGCTCTGTCATGGACACATTGTCAAAGTCATGGTGGTCCGGCTCATTCCACGTCTCGAAGTTCCACTTGGAGACCTGTGCCAGGCCATACCTGCCTGCAGAATGGCCTCCACCCTTAGGACCAGTGAGGGCCAAACCCACTGAGGGCTGAGCTGGGCACACAGGGTGGAGATTGGGATGGGACTGATTGCCTGATTTGAGGTGGTTCCCCACCTCCTGGAAACCCTGGCTCAACAGGCTCGTGACAGAAGATTCGGGGTGGCCTGGAGGATGGGGGATCTTCCAGGGAAGCCCCCCCATAGCCCTCTCCTACACACCGATATATCTCCTGGCCAGCATGGAGACCAGGTCCCTCCACTCAAACACCTGTTGCTTGTCCTCAAAGTCTGTGAAGTGTCCGGAGGGGCTGCCCATCAGCTCAAACCCTGCAATACAGGGACAATGCCCACTGCCACCAGCTGCCTGGCACCATCCCTGTCCTGAGCACACTGCCACCAGAAGGGCCACAGAAGAGAGAAGAGGCTAGGGTGGCTACTAACCAGGGAGGAGCTGGTTCTCCTGGAGGAGGTCCAGGTAGGCGTCCAGGTGAGTGAAATTGTACCTCAGGCCCTGTCCGGCAGCCCCCCTGCTGAAGGACATTTGGGATCAGAGGGGTTCAGCAGTGCATCTCGGTGCTCCCTGTTGGAATTGTGTCCACACGTGAGCAAGCAGGGAGACTGCCTGGTGCCAGGCAGGAGGATCCAGGCTCCTGGATGGGGTGCTTGCCTTTGGAAAACACCAACACCAAGGAGGCCTCTAAGCCACTCACAGCCTAGTATGAGCTGAACTGCGCAGGTCATCCCACCCCTAAGCCTTTGAAGGATGAATGATTTGGGATAGAGGACTCAGTACAGCTAAGGGGCAGCAGGATGAGTAGGCTGGAGTGCTGAGGGGACAGAGTCTACCTGAAGACAGCCTACCTGAAGTGGGGTGCTGTGGGGAGGAATGGGGATAAGCTGGTAGTGCTCCTGGAGGCCAGGACCCCAGATTTGGCCTAGTGGCACTTTCATCCCTCTTCTGGCCTTCAATGGGCAATATGGAAGAGCAGAAAGATGGAGAGCCTCTGCCTTAAACTGTCCCACCCTGGGTCAGGCCACAAAGGACTGGCGTTATTGGGCAGCCACTTGGGCCTGGAATAGAATGCCGGATATACAAGGGTTGTGATGGGGCTGAGGGCCAGGAGGAAGGGGCTCTCTGAAGGACACAGTAGCATGAGAATGTCTGGGGCATTGCCACATGCAAAGGCCCTGAGGTAGGAAGGGTTCTCGGGGGTTGAGAGCAGAGGGCAGCCAGGGGCCATGCATGTCTGGATGCTGACTTGGGAATGAATGGGGCCCCTGGAGTTTCGGCATTTCAAAACTGATCGATTGAAGTAGGAGCAGGAAGTCCAGTGGGGGCTGCAGTGGACTCCCTGGGGGGCACTGAGACACTAGAACAGATGGGTCTTCAAGGTGGTGGGGACAGTGTCCCTTGTGGAATTCAAGATGAGCTGAGGGTGTCTAGAACCATGGCATGGCCATGGGGTTGAGCGCTGGACAGGGACAGCTCCAACACTGGCTTGGGTTCTGCAGTATGGTGCCAGCCACCCAAGACTGTGCTGGTGAGGATGCCATGCCATGGATGGGCTCTCGAGAGTGGGGCAGGGACAAGGGCAGGGTACCACGTGGATAGCACAATATGTCACCACAGTGCCACAGCCTGGCCGGCCTAGTGCTGACCTAGACACTGCAAGTCCAGTTCCCAAGACCCTTCCCTCGATGTACAAGGCCTAGGACCAGCCCTACCACACCCTCTGTTCCCCCTCCACTGTCCCCTCTGTCCAGGGTCCACGATGGCCTGCGGGTTCCACGCTCCCCTCCCCCTCCATCCAAAGATTGTAACCAGCAGCAAGTGAATACCCGACGGATACTTGGGTAACGACGGATACTTGAGTAACAATAGATGTCGCTGGAATACAGATGTGCTCAGGCTCCAGAGCTCCCATCCCGACCACGACTCCAAACGGCGCCGTGCACTGCAGGAGCAACGCTTCTGACAGCCATGCTTCCTTCAAAGGCGTCTCCAGCCAATACTGGCCATCCGAAGGCCTCAGCACCAGGAATGTGGAGGTGCGGGGCACCCCTGTCTCCCCGCCGCCGAAGGACCTCTCATCCCACGGTCTCTGCGCAGCTTTGTCGCTTTGGCCCCCGCAGGGGTGCGAGCCCTCCAAGGAGCGGGGCCGAGCTGGCGAGGTAGGGCGCACTGCCGCTGGCCCGGAAGCCACACAAGAGCCCATTCATCGCACCAGCACCCGCCCCAGGCTCAAAGCAGCGCGTAAGCCAAGCGGGTGAGAGAGAGCGCGTGCGCGACAAGAGGGAGCGCGCAGCCAGGGTGCTGGGGGGCGAGGAGAGACGGCCACGTTTGCACCAGGGTAAGAGACTCATGCACGTTCGCAAGTCGCGGGGCTCTGCGCGCAAAGTGTGAGGCAGAGGCGCTCGCGCACGCAGAGACGCGCGTGCCCGGGCGTGAGGGAAGGAGGGGCCTCAGCGCACAGGGAGCGGGCGACAACGTGCAAGGTGAGCGGCGGGGCCGTGCCTTCTCTGGCGGGTAGCCCAGCGTACCCGGAGCGCGCAACACGGTTCCGCCCCTGGAAACAACGCGCTGGCCCAGAAGAGGTTGCCCTGCACTGCTGTCCAGGCCTAGGAGTTTGAGCAGGCTCGCCTCCAGCCACCGGGAAGCTGAGGCCTGACCCCCGAGCCCAGTGCGCCCCGCCGCGGTAGGGAACATCGTGTGCTTTGAAATCACTGCGTTCACACTGTAAACTGTCGCTGCGAAGATAGAGTGAAGGCAGTCAGCACCTGCACAGGGCTGGACCAGAGACTGAACCAAAGGGCTGCAGAGCTATGGTTCTCTACGCGCGGAGTGGGAGGGCCCGAAGGAGAAACGGGAGGCCAAGGGGTCCCGCTGCACTAACGGGGTAGATGCAGCCTGAGGGCGTGTGCTCATCAGAGGTTGGCAGCAGGCAGGACAGGGCGAGGCAAGGGCAGTCCCCATTCTCTGTGCACCCAAGTGAGCCCTTGCTCCCTGAGCCCAGAATCTCCCAGCCCTGCCCTCCTCCAACCCCCCCTCCCTGCAGTCCTCCCAGGGACTGTCCCACAGCCCCTCTGCGAGTAACCGAGCAGATCACTGTCAGTGGCTGTCCTCCAGCACTGAAGAATCCTTTATCTGCTCACAGGAGGCACTGTGACCCACCCCACTATACCCATAGGAAGGGCTCCTTCCAGCCACAGCTCCCAAGCAGCAGGCAAACAACACTCCCACCCCAATGCTGGGTGGAAGAAGGTCCAGGCCCTGCAGCCCCAAAGGAGTCTCCCAGAGTAGTGATAGGACTTGACTGGTAGGAGGGGGTATCTGGCAAGGGTCCTGAGAACAAGGTGGGGCACTCCACCCTGGGGTGTCAAGCTCTGCAGCCTGGCTGGCCCAGGCTCTTCCTTCCATGCTCATTCACCCACATGCCATGCCTTAAGTGCAGCTTCTGGCCAGGCCTATGGCTGTGCGGAGCCCGGTAGGATGCAGGAGGCCAATGGAGGAGGCTCCAGCATGGAGAAGGACTGGACCTCCTTTCTCTGGGAATGTGCCCACCCCCCATCATCCTGTCCTGGAGCCCCAGGGTCTCAGCTAGTTCTGCAAAACACTTGTTAATCCTAATTCTCCTCTCAGGCACCTTGGGCAAGGAACAGCAGGGTTTGTGGCCTTCTGTGCCTAGACCCATGCCGGTCTGGTCCTCATTGGAGGCTGCAGGGGTAGCAGACCAGGACAGCTTAGTCCTCCAACCCCACTGAACAGCCTATTAACCACGCCTCCCCATCAAGAAAGCCCTTCCCCCGAGGCCAAAGTCAACCTTGGAAGGGAACTGTGCTATGGGATACAGCTACTCACTCATGAGCGAGCACCTGGCTGCAGATTTATCACCCACCTCCAGATGGGACCCGAGAGTCTGAACTACTTTTAAAAAATGAAGCTTGCCCTTGGCACTTTCACCCTAAGCATCGCAGGTGCCGCATGAACTCAGACATTCTAAGGATCATCTACCTTGAGGTTAGTAGATACCATTGGTCCGACCAATGCCAATGATAGGGTGCTTGGAGCCCAGGCACCTGGCCAGTCAGGTTGGGTCAACCTGGGGCTGAGCTGGAACCCAGGACCCCTGCTGCACAGGGCTGTGTACCATGTGCACACTGGCAGCCTGGTGCCTGCCTTTCATGGGAGGACACAAAACAGCCACCGGGCAGAAGGCTGCTTGGGCTTGCTAGGTGTGATGGTTTCTACCCTGCTTCCACTCAGACCAGAGCAGGCCCTTGTAGGACAAGGACCAGCCTGGAGTGTGGGCGAAGCAGTGCACTGGCCTTGGAACCTGGAGTTAAGGGAGCTGGGGTGCACCCTGCTTCACCCTCCTCTCCTCACCTATCCCTCCTGCAGCTGGAGCCCCACTCCTAGTGCAGGAGCTTATTGGAGGCCTGAATAATTGTAATTATTTGTGAGCCTCTGATTACGGTACAATTTACAGAATTAGCCCACTGGATTAGCCGCTCAGGTAACAGTCAGGCATCTGGGAAACCCATGACTCAGCAGTCTTTGGAGTAAATAATTGAACCAACAGTCCAGCACACACAGTGCTCCAGGAGGTCAGCGCCAGACCCTCACTGTCCCTGCTGGGCTCAGAGATCCACCCGGGAGCAGGCCCAGGCCCTCGATATCTAAGGTCTCAAGTCTGGAAGGCCCCCCCAGGTAAGACTCATATACTCGAACAACCCAGCCACAGCAGAGGCAGCTCACTGGGTGGCGCGGTGGAACAGAAACAGATCTTACCATTTCTCTGAGGGACATTTGAGCACAGAGTGGGCAGCATCTAAAGTCAGGATCAGTGCCCCTGACTTGAGGGGTAAGCTTAAGGTGTCCAGGGACTTATGTGGGAGGGGATTAGGGAGAAGAGGTCATGGTTCTCACAACACTTCTCAAACACTGGGCCCCCAGCAGGCTGGGACCACCAATCTCCCATCTCAAGGAAGCTTGGTGCCAGTGGGAATGGGTATAAACTAGGGGTCCTGCGCTGTGGCAACACACTATTTGTTTAACCTTGCCACGAGGGAGGGGAATTTTAAAAACAAGTACTTTGGAGCCTGAAACAGGACAAACCCAAGGCCACCTGTGTGGACAGTGTGGGCTCTGAGCACCGCCTCGCTGGCGCCACAAGCTGTCCAGGCCAGGCAAGGTCAGAAGTGCTGGGATGGCTAGGCCACTGTTTGCACAGCAGCATGTCTGGACCATGGCACACTGTATGTCTGAAAGGGCCTTCAGCACTTAGGGAAAGGGCCCGTCATGTCTCAGGAGTCTCATCTCTCCATCTGGAGCAGGGCAAGGAGAGGGTAGGATAGGCACAGATCTGGGGTGGGGGATCCACATAACTAAACAGGATGCAGAGGACGTGCCTTGCCACACCTAGAGCCTGAGGTGTTCACAGGAGAGTGGGCAAGGGTGTGGATGAGCAAGGGGATAAGGACACTGCTGTGGGCATGTTGTGGACAGTAGGGACCAGCGCTGGGGAGGGGAAAGGGGCAGCTGGAGGTCAGGGCTGCACAGCAGCCTCTTTTACATTCTCTGGCTTGAGCCCTGTGTGGGCTGTGGGGTCCCCCAGGCACCACTTTCAGGACTTCAGGGTGGATTTCAAGTAGGAGCTACAGAGCCCATGCCAGCACTGAGCCTGGACTGAACATCTATGCTGCTGCCAGCACCCCAACCCCCTACATGCTAAGGTACAACAATAACATCTCCCCAGAGACCAGATGCTAGCACTCAACACCCACCATCCATCCACAAGCGGCGGCAAGCCTGTGCCTGAGGTCAGTGGGGCAGGAAGCAGGAGCATATGCTGTTGCCTGGGACCAGGTCTGCACCCTGCTCCCAGGCTCTGAGTGGGCACAGATCTGACCATGCCTGCTTTTCCCTGCAGGCTGGTGGAGGCTAAGCACTACAGGATGGATGTATCCCCTAACACCCCACAGCAGGGTGGGAGTCTGGTGCTGGTCCGCAGGCAGCCACCCAAGCCCCGAGGCCTGGTAGAGACACTGAAGGCCAGGTTGCAGCAGAGCTGCAGGTGCAGCATGCCACAGGCCTGGGCACTAGTACAGGACCTGATCCCTGTCACACACTGGCTGTGTCAGTACCGTCCCCGGGAATACCTGGCAGGCGATGTCATGTCTGGACTGGTCATCGGCATCATCCTGGTGCCACAGGCCATTGCCTACTCTCTGCTGGCTGGACTGCAGCCCATCTACAGCCTCTACACGTCCTTCTTTGCCAACCTCATCTACTTTCTCCTGGGCACCTCGCACCATGTGTCTGTGGGTATCTTCAGCTTGCTGTGCCTCGTAGTGGGGCAGGTGGTGGACCGAGAGCTCCAGCTGGCAGGCTTTGACCCTTCCCAGGATGGGCTGGGGTCCAGGGAAAATGGCAGCATCCTTAACAGTTCAGTGACCACGCTGGAGCCTGGACTGCAGGACTGTGGACGGGACTGCTATGCCATCCGTGTGGCCACTGCACTCACATTGATGACTGGGATTTACCAGGTGAGGAACAAGTGCCCTGCAGGCTGCCCTCCCTCTAGTGCTCACCACCTACCACCATGGAAGCTGGGAGGAAGCTCAGGGCAGGGAAGGGCAGGAGCTGCCCTGAAGCCCCAAGCCAGAGCCCCATGAGAAAAAAGTAAGATGGGTTGGGGACAAGGTAGGAGCAAGCCTAGCAGCACCACGGGCAGGGTAGCACAGATGAATGAGACTGAGACTCATTTGGCCTCCTGTCCCAAGAGCCTCAGGAGGGCTGCCATCTGTGGCCTTGCAGTCCTTCCAGGGTCTCATTGTGCAAGAGAGGGGGCTGCCCCTGACAAACCCCTACACTGATGAGATATGAGCATTCCAGCCACTGCACAGGTGTGTGCAGAACACGGAGCATGTCTTGGCATCTGTGGGCTGGTGGGCTCTGTGATATGGGGCACAGGGTTCCTGCAGGATGGTCTGAAAGATACGTGCTCTGTCCACAGGTCCTCATGGGCGTCCTCCAGCTGGGCTTCGTGTCTGCCTATCTCTCACAGCCACTATTGGATGGCTTTGCCATGGGGGCCTCGGTGACCATCCTGACCTCACAGCTCAGACACATGCTGGGTGTGCGGGTCCCCCGGCACCAGGGCCCTGGGATGGTGGTCCGCACGTGGCTGAGTCTGCTGCATGGCCTGGGGGAAGCCAACGTGTGTGATGTAGTCACCAGTGGCGTGTGCTTGGTGGTGCTGCTGGCAGGCAAGGAGCTCTCAGACCGCTACCGGCGCCACCTGAGGGTACCGCTACCCACAGAGCTGCTGGTCATCGTGGTGGCCACACTTGTTTCCCACTTTGGGCAACTCCACAGGCGTTTTGGTTCAAACGTGGCAGGCGACATCCCCACCGGCTTTGTGCCCCCGCAAGCACCAGACCTGGAGCTGATGCAGCATGTGGCACTGGACGCTGTGTCCCTGGCTCTGGTGGGCTCAGCCTTCTCCATCTCACTGGCCGAGATGTTTGCCCGCAGCCATGGCTACTCTGTCCGTGCCAACCAGGAGCTGCTGGCCGTGGGCTGCTGCAATGTGCTGCCTGCCTTCTTCCACTGCTATGTCACCGGCGCTGCCTTGTCCAAGAGTCTGGTGAAGACAGCCACTGGCTGCCGGACACAGGTGTCCAGCTTGGTCAGCGCAGCTGTAGTGCTATTGGTGCTGCTGGTGCTGGCGCCACTGTTCCAGGACCTACAGCGCAGTGTGCTAGCCTGTGTCATCGTGGCCAGCCTTCGGGGCGCCCTGCGCAAGGTCAGGGATCTTCCACAGTTGTTTCGGCTGAGCCCAGCTGATGCGCTGGTCTGGGCAGCCACCGCAGCCACCTGTGTGCTTGTCAGTGTGGAGGCCGGGCTGCTGACTGGGCTACTCCTCTCATTGTTAAGCCTGGTGGGACGCACACAGCGCCCCAAGGCTGCCCTGCTTGCCCGCATTGGGGACTCGGCCTTCTACGAGGATGCCACAGAGTTTGAGGGCCTGGTGCCCCCAGCTGGGGTGCAGGTGTTCCGCTTTGCGGGACCACTCTGCTATGCCAACAAGGCCTTCTTCCTTCGGTCACTCTATAGCCTCACTGGGCTGGATGTGGGGTGCTCAGCTGCCAGGAGGAAAGCACAGGGCTTGGAGCTGGGGGCAGCTGAGGGGGACCCTGTGGAGGGTAAGGACCCTGTGAGCAGTGGAGCCAGGCTGGTGCCCATGGCAGCTGGGTTCCACACAGTGGTCATTGACTGCGCCCCTCTACTGTTCCTGGACATGGCTGGCATAGCCATGCTGCAAGACCTGCGCCGAGACTACAGGGCCCTGGGTGTCAACCTGTTACTGGCCTGTTGCAGCCCCTCGGTGAGAGACACCCTCCAGAAAGGGGGCTTTCTGGGAGAGGACCAGGGAATGGAGGATGAGCAGCTGTTTCCCAGTGTGCACAGCGCTGTGGAGGCTGCACAGGCCCGCTATGGGGAGCTGGTGGCCACCAACTCTGTCCTCTAAAAGTGCTATGGCCTGTACTCTGGGAGCCTGAGGCAGATGTCTGGAGATCACCGTCACTGAGCACCTTTCTGGGGGTGACTCCAGGGCCTGAGTCATACCAGAGATCCACTCTGGCTCTGGCCCTGGGAATGGGGGGCAGCACTAGAATACACAGAAGAACCTGGTGCTCAGTCACCCAAAACTCTGCCTCTGGACCAGTGCCCACAGTGTGCCTTGACCTGAACTTGGAAGGGCTATGCCCTATTGAACATCATATTGCCACCATATCAGAACAGAGTCCTGCAAATGTGGAGAGGGACACCCAGACCCTGTCCTACCGGGAAGGAGCTGGAATTGTGACCAGGGTATGAAGGTTTGTGTTTCTGGAGGCTACCTACACCTGAGTGAGCCTCATACCTGGTGCTCATACCTGCAGGCCAGGCACCAGTGGGTTCACTACCAGGACTGAGTTCATGCCTAAGGCACGGTGTTCCTGCATGGCTACACCACCTGCCCACAGTGTACACAAAGGACACAGTCTGACTCTCGTTCCCCAAGGTGACCTCTGGGGAGATACCAAGAGCTGTCCTCAGCATACCAGCCAGAAAGTCTCCCAACCCCTGTAGATGCTCCAACAGGAAATGAGGGCCCCTGGCCCTATACTGGCTCCCATTCCCAGCATCACCTACCTGGCTGTGACAAGGTCCAGCAGCCAGTGTGTCCGGACCTGTTCGATGCCACCGTGGGGTACAGCGCCCACATAGGCGAGGTTGAGCTGCTGGTCCCAGCTGAGGTCATACTGGTCAGCCCGGTCGTGTGGCAATGGGGGGCTGGGAACAGACAGGGTGCCCTGCATTGGTGCTGACCAGGGCTGGCAAACAGGTACCAGTGAACAATAAACTGCTCCCAGGCCAGGAATGTTGTGTGGTCCTGTCCTCGGGGGTGGGGCTGTGCCTGTGCCAGATGGAAGACCTCTCTCTGCTGCAGAGGGATGGCTCTATGCCTCCCAGGGAAGAGAAGAGGTTGGCTCCACTCCCTGGCTGCCCTTGAGGCGCCTGGTACACCAGAAAAGCGCAGCTCCAGGCCCCAGTACGGGGCTCCCCCTGGGGGGGGAGCCCCACATCTAGACACAGGCTGAGCCAATATGTGGGCACCCTGAGGCAGGAAAGAAAAGGAAATCCTCAAATCCACACGTTGGCTTAACAAAGAAAAGTAAAGAGCAGGAACCTGATCCTATGATAAAAGGGCGATAAAAGTGCAGGGAAGACAATTCAGAGAAATGGTTAAATTACCTATTAAAAAAAAAAAAAAAAAAAAAACTGCCGGGCAGAGAACATAGCTCAGCGGCACACTGCCCGCTTGGTAACCACAAGATCGTGAGTTCAATTCCCAGGACCAAAAAAAAAAAAAAAAAAAAAAAAAATGCCCGCAATTCTCCAGAGGTCTCGGCCCCTGCAAGACAAACACACAAGTCCCCAGTCCGGGAAGCAACGGGCCTCCCTCTTGGGAACTCCGCCCTTGACTCTCAAGCCTTCCCAGACTGGGATCTGCAAACCTGCAAACTTACTCTTCCAACACTTCCTCAGCCCCAGCGTAGTGCCAGCCCCATCCCGATGGAGCCTGGACCTCGCCTGGGCCTCAGTTTCCCTGGGAGCGCTCACCAGAAGCCAGTGCTTCTCCAGAAGGGCCGAAGGGGCCGCAGTGTGCGCGTGGCGTCCACGCGCACCAGGTGCGGGGTCTCAGGCTCCGCTGCGCAGGCCGCGGCAAGAAGTGCGGCGAGGAGCGCTAGCGGCAAGGCGTGTAACCGCGGGGGGCGCATGGCCGCGGCGGGGCGAAAGGGTGCGGGTCTCCGCTGCAGCCCCAGTTCCGCCTCCGGTGGCGCCCACGTGACGCCGGGAGGGCGAGGCCTCCGCTCTCGGGACTCCGCCCTGACCTTGGAGACTGATCTTACGCGGCTGCGCCCACCAGGACCAAACTTGGACCTTGGGTCTGCGCGGGATGCCTGCGCAGGGGTGCGTGGAGAAGTTGCTCTGCAGGCCAGACAAGGCCGGGCAGGGGTACGTAGAGGTGGGGAGAGCTGACCTAGTGGGGGCTGCGCTTGAGGGGTGCTTGGAAGGCTTGATGGGGTAATTGTGGGAGTAGACAGCCCCAGTCTGTGTTGTTTCCTGCGTGGGCTGCTGTGAAAGGCACAGGGAACCAACAGTCAAATGGCCACTGGTAATGGGCAGCTGAGGGCCGGCCTGGCTCTTTGGGGAGGTGCGGTCAGGGATCAGTGTTTTAAGATTTAAATCGTGTGTTTAACTGTCAGTTTCCACAGCAGGGTGAGGGGCCCTTGCTTGCTCGTCTCCCCACCCCTCCCTGGAGCAGCAAGGTGACCAGGGCCTTGGGGTGCTGGACTTGAGCCTGGGTCATCAGGCTAGAGCTGGTGAGAGGGCAAGTTTACAGGTGCAGAGGAGAGGGGCCTAGGACTTCATCTCCTGCAAGTGTGGCCAAGGAGGAGCCAAGCCTTGCTCAGGGAAGCTCCCAGTGTGGTCAGGTGAGACAGAAGAGCTGAGGACAGGCCTGGTACCGAGGAAGGCAGTTCTTTTTTTTTATTTTTTTTATTTTTATTTTTTTGTCTTTTTTCATTTTTATCGGTACCAGGGATTGAACTCACAACCACCTGCTTGCAATGCAGGTACTTATGCTGCTGAGCTAAATCCCCAGCCCCTAAGGAAGGCAGTTCTGAAGGCCACACAGAAGCAACAAAACCTCAAGGAAACAAGATACATGTCCAGAGGTCTGGAAGATAAAACACGTATTTGACTGGGGTTCCTGGCATTTTTATTTATTTCCTTTCTTTCTTTTTTTTAGGGGGGAGAGGTTGTTTTTTGTTTTCTGTGACAGGGTTGCCCTGTGTAGTCCAGGCTGGCCTCAAACTCGTGATGATCCTCCTGTCTCTGCTACCCGAGTGTACCATCATGCCTGGCCCAAGGGGATTTCTGAAACATGTTCCTCAGCAGGAAGGAACATTTCACCAGAAGAGCATCCCTGTACCTGTGGGAACCCAAGCCAATGTCTGAAGTAATCAGCATGGGCTGAAGCAGGCTTGTGGGAGGACACCTGGGCACTAGACTATGGGAGCTGAGCCAGTGGGGAGGAGGGAGACCTGGCAGCAAGGGCTGGCTGCTCTCACTTGGGGGAGCAGTAAGACAGTGGTTAGCATCTTTTCTTGTGCTAAAACTGAAACTGCAGAAAGTGTCATGATTAGCTAATTAAAAGAGAAGTAGAATGTAATTTTTTTAAATTATTTTTTTAATTTTTATTTTTTTTATCGGCACCTGGGATTGAATTCACGACTGCCTGCTTGCAAGGCAGGCGCTTATGCCACTGAGCTAAATCCCCAGCCCAGAATGTAATTTCTAAATCAGCAAGGAGGAAACTGTGGAAATGCAATAAAAATAACTGAAAAATAAACTTCTTAAAAGCTAAATAAACTTAAAGGCAAGACAAAGGGGAAAGCCCAGAAGATCCCTGACTGCACAGAAATGCCTCCCAGGATCAGCAGGCACCCCAAATCAGCAGTCACAAACTGTGGGAAATGGACAGGGGTGGTACTGGGGACTGGACCCCAGGGCCTTTAGGCTGAGCTATAGCCCTAGCCTCTTTTATTTTTTGAGACAAGGTCTCACTAAGTTACCTGGGCCAGGCTTGAACTTGAGGTCCTCCTGCCTCAGCCTCTCTGAATGCAGGATAAATGATTTTTTTTAAGGTAAGGTCTTGCTATGCAGTTCAAGCTGGTTTTGAACTTATGAGGTATCCCAGGCTGGCTTCTAACTCATGGCAATCCTGCCTCAGACTTCCTTGTGCTGGAATTACAGGCGTGTGCTACTATGCCTGGCTGACAGTTCTTAAATGCTTGAAAGGACTGAAAACACTAAGGTATCCAGGTTAAAACTGAAAAGAGGGAGTTCAATGACAGGAAAGGATTGCAGTGACCAGCCTTCTCCAGGGCACAACCAGGAAAGTGGGGGTGTGCAGGGTCCTGTGAGAAGGTGCCATGGTGGCGCACTGGGCTCCAGCCTTGGGGGGATTTCCAGTCATGAAAGTAGTGGCTGAGAAGCTGGGGCCCTGAGACAAAAGCTGGCATTCAGGACCACATCTGAGAAGCAAAGGTGCCCTAGCAACAGGACCATCTGCCAGGGGACAGCATGACAACCCCAATCCCTGAGCCCATCACCTGCCAGAGAAGACGTGGTTCCTGCAGGAAGACCAGAAGAGACAGCCACATGGGATATGGCTTCCCATCTGCAGTGCGTACACGTACTGTGTGTGGCTCTGTCAGTTTCCAGCAACCTGTGAGTGACTTACTGGTTACACATGCTTATGAGCAGAGATGTTCTGTTCCCTCGGTGCTGAAGTCCAGAGGTGCTGGCTTGTTCTGCCTAAACCCAAATAGCTCCGAAAACCAGAGCAAAAAGCAGCCATAGGGTTATGTGCAAGTGTTGGGAACTGATGGACCTAGGAGAAAAGTGTGTACTACTTTAACTACCTGAGAAGTTTAAAATTTTTGAAATCAAAAGGTTGGAAAAACTGTAACTTCAAGAAAACCTACCCGGACTTCCGGAAGAACATGGCAGATAGATAGCAGCAGCTATGGAGGCTCTCTGAGATACCCCACTTAAAATCCAGGAATGGTGCAGTACGAGGAGTCCTAAGCAAGGGGAGATACACCCTGCCGACCCAGGAATGCACTAAGCTAAGAGAAACCAACTGGAAATCCAATCCTGGTGCTATAACAGGAACAGATAAAATCTCAGCTCGGAAGCTAGAACCCGCACCATTGGAAGCCGCAATTTGAATTTCCTGCTGCTGCTGCTGCTGCGTCCAAATCGGCATGGCAGGGAGAGAGACCCTCGAAAGCTCTGAGAGAGGGAATCTGCGAACGGAGTTGAAAGCGAGACTAGCAGACCAGCTGCAGCCACAGCGTGACTTCCAACTAGCACATCACCTCTCAGTCCCCATCATGGTGCTGTACAGCTCCAACTGACCCAGAGGCAATGGGATTAATAACATGAAGCAACCTTTTACTACAGGTCAGCTGAGGCACCAGCTCAGGGAAGACACTCTGCAAGATAAGGGTGCTGTCCTCCAGGATAAATACACGAAATTCAGCCAACTGCTGCCCTCCAGATGAAAGGCCCAATAGATGAATGCAGTGACCCAGAACCAATGTGTGGATGGGTCCCTTATTCCCAGTGACTGCATACACCGAATGTATGCTTGCCATCCCATCAACTAAGGCTATTTTATTAAATGTTTTTGTTCTCAAAAGTTTTGCATTTCACCAGGTGGCACAACAAGGACTTAAACTAAGCCTAAAATTACAATCAGCAAGCTGACCACTTGGGGGTCTCATGTCCATGGACTATTAGACAACCAAGAGTTTCCCAAAAAAAGTTTCTGTCGTACAGGGCTTATGGGAATGTAAAATACAAGGGAGCCCTGCTTGCAACAAAAAGTTTTATTTTGTAAGTAATAAAATGTCTCTACTCTGAAAAAAAAAAGAAAACCTACCCAAAATGTGTTGTTATACATTTTAAGTAGGTTTGTTTTATTATATGTAAATCCTATCTCAGTAAAGCTGAAAAAAACCTGAATGGATTGGTGAACTGCAGATTAGACCTAACTAGAATTAAACAACTGGAAGATAGAGGGGGTAATTCATTCTGAAACACAGAGAGAAATAATGGAAACTGCAGGGTATCATGGTGTCAATAACGCTCACTAGAATCGGAGGGAGGGGTTGGAGAAATAACTTTCTACAAGTGGTGAAGGTTATGGGTCCAAAAGTATTGTGATCCCTGAGGGGAAACCCACAGAAGTGAAAACATAAGCACTTAAGAGTACAATAGCTAAGGCCAGAGACAATGGGGAGATGCTAGATTCAGCTGGAGGAAGAGAGACCCATCTCATCTGACAGGCCCATGGCAAGATGAAAGCTGACCGCCAGCAGAGGACAGTAGATGAAAGAAGGTTTGTGATCTCCAAACTGAATCACTTGTAACCTAAAACTCTTATGTGTGTGTATGTATTTATTATCTTATGTACTCTGCCACTGAGCGCCATCCCTAACCTCTTTTATTTTCAAGACCAGGTCTTACTAAGTTTCCCAGGCAGGGTTGAGCTTGCAATCTTCCTGCCCTGGTGTCTCAAAGTGTGCACTGCCACACCTGGATGGAAACTTAAAATTCCAGATTCAGCAAAAAGTACATTTCAGGCTGGATACAGTGCCACACGCCTATCTCAGCTACTTAGGAGGGTGAGGCTGGAGGATCCCTTGATCCCAGGAGCCCCAGGCTAGGGGGGCAACATGGCAAGAGCCCATTTAAAAATGAAAGCTGTTGGGGTGGGGGATTTAGCTCAGTGGCATAAGCGCCTGCCTTGTAAGCAGGCAGTCGTGAGTTTGATCCTTGGTACCAATAAAAAGGAAAAAGAAAAAAAAAAGAAAGCTGTTATATATATTTCTAAAAGAAATTATGACTGAATAGAGACACTGTAGAGAAACAAACTCTAAATATTTGTCCCCATCAACTTCCCATTGAGGCAAACGAGTGTCCTTGCAGCAGGAGGGAAATGGCCCTGAGGAAGCTCAGAGGCGCAGACAGAATGTGTGCCAGGTGGGCAGTTATCAGATGCCAAAATTTATACCACAGCTAGGGAACAAGACTGTGACAGTACCTGTGGCATCTGCTGTCCTCCTGGGCACACAGACTCTGCAGGCATAATGACATTAAGGATTTGAGATGAGATCATCCTGGATTATCCATCAGCAGAAATGTCACCAGTGTGTGCACCTGAGAGGATGACAGCGAGCTATGGAATCCAGAAGAGAAAGCTGAGGTGCAGCCC